TATATATATATATATATATATATATATTTATCTATATATGTTTACATTTAAATATTTGGATTAACATTTAGATATGCGTTTATATATATAAATATACGTATGTATATATATATTTATTATTTTTACTTATCTATTATAAATATATATATATATATATTTATTTACTTACTTACTTATATATAAATGAATATCTAAATGTTAATCCGAATATTTACATGTACTTATTTAAATGCATGCATATTAATAAATATAAATGCGTGTATAAATATAAATATAAATATAAATATAAACATAAATATAGCAATAAACATAAAAGCAAAAACAACAGCGAATATAAAACAGCGCATGGATATAAAAATAGAAGAAAGAGATATAAATAAATAAATAAATAAATAAATAAATAAAGTGTGTGTGTATGAATATGTTTATGTTTGTTCAGGACAGACAGAGGAGTTGAGTTGCCTGTGTATACACTTGAATTTGATGTAGAAGTAGAGGGTGATGAGAATGCTGTTTTATTGTTTACAGCTTCTCTTCATAGAGCAGCTGCTGAAGTGTCTTCTTCACAACTACAAGCAGCAGCAGCAGCAGCAGAGGAGACAGCAGGACACAGCAGCACAGAAGGAGGAAGGCTACGAGCTGTATCTTTAGATGCATTTAAACCTCTGCATGCAGTAGGGAGGTCTTTAAGCCCGTTCATTGGTGCGCATCTAAGTAGATATAGAGTTTGTAGACAGCAGCAAGACAAAAGAGAAGCAGCAGAGATAGAAAGCGAGAGGCAGAAAGCCCAGCGTAGAGCTGCTGCTGCTTCTCCTTCTGCACAGCAGCAGCAGCAGCAGCAGCAGGATATCCCTCTCTCTCAATTGCAGCAGCAACTGCATGCAACAGGTATAACTGCATGTCATCTCCCGCTCATTATATTGAAACCTCGATTTGTTGTTCATAAACTAATTAATAATAAAAATAAAAAGAAACCCTTCTGGGGGTCGGCTTCACCTCCTCAAGTGCATATACTGCCTGTAATAAAAACAAACAAAGCGGCGAAAAATAATTACTCTGGTCGTACAGCTCGTTCTCTTGACACCAAGTCTTCTAACCTCCAAATATTTAAACAGCCTAATTTAGAAGGATTTCCTGTTATTTTATTTAGGTAAGCAATCTACACTACACTCATATCCGTGCTGCTGCTGCTGCTGCTGTTGCTGCTGCTCCTGTTGCTGCAGGTGCTGCTGCTCATGTTGCTGTTGCTGCAGGTGTTGTTAGTGCTGCTGCTGCAAGTGCTGTTGCTGATGTTGTTGTTGCTGCTGCTAGTGTACTTGTCGTTGCTTTAGCTGTTGCTGCTGCTAGTGGTGTTGCCGCTGTGGCTGCTGTTGCTGCTGCTGCTGCTGCTGCTGCTGCTGCTGCTGCTGCTGCCGAAGGCAGATGTTTAAAACAAGGTGTTTCTTTACCTCTGCAGTTTTAAGGTCTCTGCCTCTGTAGCCTCAGGTGTATCCGCACCTCCGCACTCTGCTGCTTCCTGCTGCATGCATGCATTATATTGTTGCGGTGTCTGTACACCTCAGAACTCCTGTGCATGCGCTGACGCAATCGTGGCTGGTTGGGATCGTTGATAGACAGGACGTCTTCAGGGGATCTACCAAGGTAAACAAATGCTGCTGCTGCTGCTGCTGCTGCTGCTGCTGCTGCTGTTGCTGTTCTTGTTGGAGCTGCTACTGGTGCTGCTGCTGCTGTTCTTGTTGGAGCTGGTACTGCTGCTGCTGCTGCTGTTCTTGTTGTAGCTGCTGCTGCTGTTCTTGTTGGCGCTGCTGCTGCTGCTGCTGCTGCCTTCGCATGCACGGGCGTCAGTGTTGGTTGTGCTGTAAATTTATTTGTTATTGTTGTGCAGTATTTGTTTTTTAGTTTTAATTTTGCTCTCCACGTTTTATTTTTTATATTTTGTTTCTGCTCGTTTATTTATGTTTGTTTATTTGTGTTTGTTAATATCTATGTATTATTATATATGCTTTTTATACGTGTATATATATATATATATATATACATGTATATATCTATATATCTATATATATATATATATATACATGCATATATATATATATATACATGTATATATATATATATACATGTATATATATATATTTATATATATATATATATATACATGTATATATATATACACTTATTATATAGGCTTATTTATATCTGTATATTGCTATGAAAGTTAATTTACATAAATTTATATTTGTTCAATTGGTTTTGTTGATATGCTGCAGATTTTGTGCATTTGTTTGTTTGTATGGTGCAGACAGTGCAGGAAATTCGCTCATTCTTGCCGGTCTCGCATCCTTCGCGATTAGAGATGTATAAAGATGTTCATAGCGACTGGTTGAATATGTTAGCAGTAGTTGCAAGAAGAGAGGAGCTGCTGCCGACAGCAGCAACAGCAGCAGGGTTGCTGCTGCATGCATTAAGACTAAGAGAAGCCCCTACAAGCTATCCATTTGCTGCAGCAGCACGAAGTGTACATCTTGATGCTGCTGAGTGCCAGCGAAGGTTGCTGCCTATACAGCTGGGATTTGCTGCAGAAGGTTTATTAATGTCTCTGTCTTGCAGTGATGGAGACAGTAGCTGTCTCCTGCAGCAAGGAGTGCAGCAGCTGCTGCCGGTGCAGCCGCTGCAGCCCCTGCTGCTGCCCACACATCAACATCATCATCACCACCACCACCATCATCATCATCAGCAGCAGCAGCAGCAGCAGCAGCATGACGCACATGTACAGCACCAGCATCATCAGCAGCATCAAACGAAGCAGAAACATTATCATCATCAGCAGCATCAGCAGCAGCAGCAGCAGCAACAGCAGCAAAAGAAGAAGAAAAGCAATAAAAATAGCCTCCCTCTAGGCGCACGAGAGCCTCCTTGGGCAGCAGTTCGAAGTGTTGTGGGGCCCCTGCTGCAGCGAGTATCTCAAGATGTATTAGGAAGAATAGAAGAAGCAGCAAATGAGATAGGCGTATTCTTTTGTGCTCGTACACCCTTTATACACTTCATGGATGCAGCAAGTGCTCCTGAGTTAGCTGAATTAACAATGCAGCTTGTTGGGAAGTTTTATCTTTTGCGAAGAGAGGTAGAAGCAGCAGTACTTGCAGCAGAAGAAAGGGATAGAGGAGACTTGAATGAAGAGGCTGCAGCAGCAAGAATAAACATACCCGATAGCAGCACCAGCAAACACCATCAGCATCAATTCTTCAAGCAGCAGCAACAACAACAGCAGCAGCAGCACCAACAGAAGCAGCAGCAGCAGCAAAAACAACATACAGCAGTAGATACTCGCTCTTGGTTAGGGGGAGACAGCTACACCCCAGTAGCTTACAGTAATAACAGCGAAGGAGACAGAGAAGCTGCTGGTGAGGAGACACGTGATGAAGCTGCTGCTGCTGCTGCTGCTGCTGCATCAGCAGCAGCACACAGGGGGGAGAGAGGAACGAGAATTGAAAAAATAACAACCAGCAGCAATAAACAGCAGGGCTCTAACAGCTGGGAACTACCCCTGTCAACTCAAAGGAGACAGCTGCTTAGCAGTTCTTTTCAGAGGCAAATAGATGTAGACTCCTGGAGAGGTAGAGCAGGAGACAGAGAAAATACAAGAAGAAGAAGTCTGCGACCGAGGTTTCGTCAAGACAACAGATGGCGTGTAAGATCCCCTGCTGCAGCAGCAGGAGCAGGAGCAGCAAAAGCAGCAGCAGCAGCAGCAGGGGGAGGAGGGTTAAGTGCTCGGGGGGCTCTAGAAGTTGTTGATGTGCAGCTACAAATGCAGAGACAGCTGCTAGAGATATCTTCAGGTCTTGCATGCGATATAAGAGAATACGGTGAGAGAAGCAACTTCGTCTTTGCTGCCGAGCATCTGCTGCAGTCTCTCCCTGAGCTACAGAGACAGATGGATCTTGATAAGGAGTGGAGTCTTAGTTTTGTTGAGCATGCAGCAACAGCAGCAGCAGGAGACAGCCGTCTTGCATATAGATTAAGACAAACAGAAAGAAGAGAAGCATTAGGAGAAGTGCTGAGACCAAAAGCAAAGGAGACAGCAGAGTTTGCTCTGTCTCTTATTGATGCTGCTGAGTGGTTGCATGCTCTCAAAGAAGAAGGAAGAACGCCAAGGGCAGCTTTCTCAGGTACATACACCACAGGAGGGGGGCCCCTACACACTGCAGCAGATGCAGCAGCAGCAGCAGCAGCAGCAGCAGGGGGTCCACCATCCGATGCAGCAGCAGGTGGTGCTGCTGCTGCATCAGCAGCATCAGCAGCATCAGCTGCAACAGCAGCGACAGCAGCAGCAGCAGGAGGAGCAGCAGGAGCAGGAAGCACTCATATAGGAGACTCTATGCTACATTACTACACCCCACAAGGAGCAGAGCGAAGCCAACCAGTGCAGCTGCTGCAGGGGGTTGATGATACACCTGAAGAAGAAGAAACGCTGCATGATGCTGAAAGCTGCTCTCTTCAAAAGCCTTTGGAGCACTTAGGAATATATCTTTCTTCTTCATTATCACCTAAAGATAGATTGTCTTCTTCAATTTTACCCCCTCAGACTCCTGTTGCTGCAGGGCTAGAAGCGTCTAGCAGCAAGGGAGGCAGCAGCAGCACAGGGACGCCGAGCAGCAGCAGCAGCAGCAGGAGTGGCCGGCACAGCAGCAGCAGCAGCAGCAGCAGTAATAGTAGAGGGAATAGTAGCGGGGATGAACAAGAGGGTTTAGAAGATACAAGAAGAATAGGTATTGATAAGAATATGCCTCTAATGATGCAATCTAAGAAAAACTCATCTGAGGTGTATGATGACCCTAATGAAAATTCTTTATGGTGGGAGGCAGAAGCTGCAACTCTATTAAATTCAGATAAACCCGCAGCAGCAGTTTCTTTACTTCTTCCTCATTTACATTTAGCTTTACAGACAGGTAAAGACTGGGATTGTCTAGGAAGAGGGTCGATAAAAGAGAATGCTCTTTGGGTGTTTGTTGTGGGGTTAATCTGTACAAATAGCTTTGTATGCGAGGGAATTAAAACTCTTCTCTTCGGAGAGGCTTTCTTCTTACAAGATATGCTGCAATTAGCTAGAAGAGGAGCTGCAGGAACAAAAAAACCTCTCGCCCTACTACGCACAGACGCTATCCTAGAAGGCAGACACCAGGGATGCGCTAGAAGTAAACCTAACCCTAAACCCTAAACCCTAATCATAAACCCTAATCATAAACCCTA